TATATATATATATATATATATATATGGATGTTTGCTTCTGCTGATCCTTCGTTTGTGCGGAATAAATGCAGGCTGGTAGCTTGAAGAATGTGTAAACTTGCGTGAAAAAACGGTTAATGTTATGCTAATAAGAAGATATATGTTTATATTAGCTTTATCCTTGTTGGAACCCACTAAAAAATTTTAGTGTTTCCGAAAAATGCAATTGGCTTGACAGATGGTTTGAACCTCTGTTTGAAAATCTCATTAGCTTTAGAATACCTAAAAATCGAACTAATCCTCTATGTGATAGTTTTTTTTAAGAAAAATTGGTTTGAAAGAGTCGTCACCAATATTTTGCACAAAACATTAGAAAAAAAAATAGTTTTTGCAAATTTAACTTTGGCCTTCACAGCTAGAGTCTGGTTCGGGAGTCGATTATGTATCGAAAATGTATTAGGCACCCTACAACGCCCGAACTCGGTATCCTATGACAATTTTAGCATTACGACAGCTTAATTAAATTTTTACCCTTATTTATTAAGCATACATAGCAATTAACGTCTACATTATTCTTAATCTATTACATACATATAACATTATTATCTACATGATACTTATTTTATTGCTTACAAGAAAAACGATAAATAAAGCAATAAATAAAAGAAAAGAAATTGAAACCTCTGAAGCAAACTTATTATATTTTTTCATCTTGTAAAGTCATACATGGGTGCTTTTTGGCAGCCTTCTTTCTCTATAAGAACCTCACAAAATCATTCAAAATTTTAGACTAGGAAAACTCCAAAATCTTTGCCAAAAGGACTAGAGATCTCTTAATTAGGCACTTGTTTGTGGGGAATTTTGTTCGTAGGTTCTTTTTATTCGAACTAGCACGATTTCAATTTATGCGTGTTCGTGACATGACATATTCGAAGACTTTTAGTGAAAAAATCGTACAAACAACAAATAGAGTTAATTGATTAGGGTGTTGTTCTAGCATATCAAAAGATCTATGCTCGTTGCTTGAACACATCAGAAGATCTATGCTTGTTTTAGCACATCAGAAGATCTATACTTGTTTTAGCACATCAACAAATCTATGCTAATCATACAATCAATTTCATGCATGTAAGAGTTAACGTGAATCAAACAGATGACATGTATATTGACTGCAGAAATCATATCCTTCATTAAATGGTAACAGAATTACAATTCGTAAAGATAACGAAAATGATTCAGATGACTACACTACACTAGACTACGCTACGCTACACTATGCTATGCTACGCTAAAAAAAAGGAAAAAGAAAGGTGGTCGAGAAACTGTACCTAAAGCTGTCTCGTATGCACGTGAGCCTTATGCGCAAGCGAGGAGTGCGTGTGAGGTATTGTGGGTGTGTGATTTATGACCCTTTACTACTAGCATGACTCGTTTAATTTATAGACACAAATTTGGGAAAGGTAATTGTATCTAACGTGCCTCGAAAACGCATAATTCCTGGAACCGCTCATTAACTTCCCCAAACCGTTCTATAGTCTTTGACACTTATCCCATAATTTACTTCAACCTCTCTTAAATCGTGTCTCCTTTAAGTTCTTCATTATGAGAGGTTGCGAAGTATGCTCGTGTATATCCGGATCCTTGGGATTTCGAGTGACCAACGAAAAGTATACTTGCATGCTTCTTGATTTTCTTGTACTTTGAGAGGTTGCGAGGCTGTGAGCCTTTCTCATGAGCAGCATCTTTCCTGGTTCAAGGATTTCGAGAGTTTCACGAAAAATGACTTCGCGTATCTCTTGATTCTCTTCAGACTTCGTATGTCTTCTTCAGAAGCTTCTTTGCCATTTTTCGATCACCTAAGATTTCGAGTACTCCCATATTTCGAGCATCACCGAATTCATTTCTCGGTACTAACAGCACTGCAATGAATTTATTTCACTCAAAGTGGCCTGAAGAAAGTCTGAGAGGGGGGAGAGAGAATAAGGGGTTCGTAAGAATGGACCCTTGGCACGCTTTTATAGGTGTCTAGGGAAGAGGAATGGTCGTTGCACACCTGCAAATTGTACTAACACATGCCAAATGGAACAACCGTTCTAGGCCATATATGCTATGAAGGGGAACAACCATTTTACCTCTGGAAATGGTCGTTCCAAGTCTAAGGTTAGGGTTTTGACCCTTTTTGTGCAGAAATGCCTCCTGAATTTCCCGTGCTCCGTCTCGACATGCTCCTGTGTATGTCTTCCTTAGCTTCAGGGGATTGTTTTTCTTGACTCAGAAGCTTCCTAACCTTTTGCAAATAAAGTCTGAACAAAATCTGGTGGCTACAATCCTTTATATATACATTAGTGTATGGAGCTTTTTTTCTTTTTATAAGCAAAATATACACGTACTACTTAAGCAAACTTTATTCTATATATTTGTGAAGTGGTTACAAACTAGTTTTAATATCCGACAAATGCACATGATATATAGAGTTTGTTATATTAGTGATATATTTTGGTTATAAGTAAGCAATGCATTTATCAAATTCAAAATATATTCAACTACATAAATTTTCTCAAATAAAAAATAATAATTGAAATGATTAAATATCCTACTTTTTTTTTATCAATTTTTGTTTTAGTCTCTGAAAATTTTTTTTTATTAATTTTAGTTCTTAAATTTTTACCGATTTTTTATTTTTAATCATTGAAATTTTTATCCCATTAATAATTTAGTCACTAGTTAGCTCCAAAAAATTTTATTCATTTAAAAAAAATTCAAAGACTGAAATAAAATACAATTTGTTCAGGAATTAAAAATAAAAATTAACAAAAATGTTCATGGACTAAAATTAAAATATTTAATCCTATTTGAAATAATAATCAAGGGAAACATTCAATTAATTAGTATATAAAAATTAAAAATAAGAGAAAAATAATATATTAAAAATAAATTATCATTGAATGACTGTTTATTATATTGAAATATACATGTTATGTATAAAGACTTTATTGTTTTTATATGTAAATTTTCTAAAATGTCCACAAAGATAAATACAAATATTATATATATATATATATATATGAATGCTTAACTATGTGAGACACGGGGACATATAAATCTGTATTGAGAAGTGAAATAAATAAGTATGATGTATAATCGAATGACACTTCTATAGAACTTAAAAATGAAAATAACTCTTATGTATGATTAAAACAATAAAGTTATAGAAAGACAAGCCACATGTTAGCTTGTAAATTCAAAATATATATCTTCAAATTTAGTGAATTCTAATTAGTTAGAATTAATAATTTTCTTTAGCATTTCACGTAGTAAAAATTGACCTTTAAGATAAACATAGGTTACTGAAGTCAAACTCCGTGTTAAAGTAAACCTTCATTAGGCCTACAAATTATTATCAAAATGAATTTTAAAAAAATAGTATAATTTAAAAAGAGCTAAAGGATAGAAAAAGTATAGGCTTGGTGAGCACATATGCAAGTTGAGCAAAAGAAGCAACTAGTAGGAGATGTATGAGGTCACTTTGAATCTTCTCAAGAATGACATGGAAATCGATCACAATCTGTTTAGCCATTTCGTGAAAGGTTGGGTTATGAGCTAAGCTGATGGTTGATTTATTATCACAATTTTTTTATGTAAGCTTTGGCAAACAATAAAAGGCAGATAAGTATTGAAAATAAAAAGATCAACCCTTATTGAGAAGTTCACACTGAGAAACATACTAACACATACAAAGTTGAAGCACTACATGTAAGTTCTATGATTTTCTAATACATCAATTATAAAAAAATTAAAAGATCTTTGAAATTCATGATACTCACATAATAATTAAAAAAATGTGTACCTTTCTCCATAGTAGAAAACTCCTTTGATCCTTAGAGTGCTTTGATTTTCTTGAGAAGAGAACCAAGATTTCACTCCCTTTGACTTTTCTTTCTACTCTCTCTATCTTTCGTGATGACTAGGGTTTGAGAGAATACTTTCTATCAGGAGTGTGGACCTTGTCTCACATAAGTGGATATTTATAATTAATTCCTAAAGATTGTTATTTCCATCAAATAACAATTATTGTGCGGTGCAGTTATCCACTTTTTATTCATATATGGATCGATTTTTTTAAAAAACCAAACCGATTCACTTTGTAAAAATGGATCGGATAACTGAACCGGTTTTAAAAGTGGTTTGGTTCGGATTTTTTTTCAAAATGGATCGGATTTGGTTCGGTGCGGTGCAGTTATCCACTTTTTATTCATATATGGATCGATTTTTTTAAAAAACCAAACCGATTCACTTTGTAAAAATGGATCGGATAACTGAACCGGTTTTAAAAGTGGTTTGGTTCGGATTTTTTTTCAAAATGGATCGGATTTTTCAATATGGATCGGATCTGTTATGGATTGGTTCGGATCAATTTGGATTTTTTGCACACCCCTATTCGTAAGCACAACTTTTATGTTATATTTAATTTCTTCTGAAATACCAGACGGCAAGGTACATAAAGCTCAGGAGACTATTGAATCCATTGATGAACAGGATAAAACAATCAATTTCAAACTCTTTGGAGGAGATATCAATCAGCAGTACAAAAGCTTTAAGCTGATCCTTCAAGTGATTGACAAGAATGATGGTGGTGCCGCTGTTAAATGGACCATTGAATATGAGAAGATCAACGAGGATATTGATCCTCCACATGGTTACATGGACTACTTTGACAAATCCACCAAAGAGATGGATGCTTATGTTTTCAACACATAGCTCCACACAAGTCTTAAGAAAAATAACAAAACGGTGTAATGGGTTTGACTTTCATTCAGGAGTATAAGTGTTTGTCAATGTAGTTCGTATGATGTTTTGAAATGTAAAATAAATAAATAAATAAATATATATA